TACCTTAGGCAATCACTAAAATTTTTTAAAAATATCCTTTGAATGACATGTTTCTATAAATACAGGAAGGTCTCTGTTAGGATGACAAGCCAAAGACCTAACGAGTATCAGTATGCTGTTATGTTTTCTTCTGCTTTTTTACTTTTAAGAAAATATAATCTTATTGTGCAATTCACTATGATCTGTGCAGACTGCAGCTCATTCAGGGCCTTTTCTATCTACAGAGTCAGACAACTTAAAACCAGAGTTTGATTATTGGCGCATGCGTGGATACAGAAGAGAGAGGAAACAAAGAAAGCAATTCTGTACCTGGAAAGTGGACAACATTTAAGATTTTGACTATGTGCTAGCTTCCAAAACAAAACCAACTTATCTAGGCAAAAAATTTCTTTGAGCAACATCTAGGCAAATTGATCTTTTAATATATATATGTACACATCATATTATACCTGACGGATTACAATCCACATTCTATCCACAGGATTGACGTTGACATAGCTTCAACAAACCTCCATTCAGATAAGAGAACACCCACGCTCATGGAAGAAAATGAAATATGCACAATATGCATGGAGAAAATTGTAAGCGATGATTATATAAATGAACTGCAATGCTACCATATATATCATCACCCATGCATTGTTGACTGGATCCGAATGAACATCAACTGTCCAACATGCAGAGCCACAATATCGTAGACAATATGTTTCAATACTATAATAAATAAATTTGTCACGTTTATACCATTATAAACAAATAATTTCATATTTCCAGTGTATTTGTTACAGATAAAAACATGTTGTTTAAAACAATGCAAATGGAAAAAAACTCTAACTTAAATGTTCCCCTAGGATCACCACAAACTAAACAAACAACAACCGGAAGATACAAATATGATGAGATTTTTGATATTACCAACAAACAAATCTCAAATAATCAAACAATTAATTTAAATCTTTTGTAAAACCAAGTCAAACCGATAAGTTTACCGAGCTGATTGACTGACTTTGGAGTAGGCCACACACTCATTGCATTAATCTTTTGAGAATCTATTTGAATTCACCCATGCCCTCTATCTACGGGCACTTTCCATTTATAGCCGACATTTACTCAGTTTCCAACGCTCCTCACAATTCTCGGTATATTTAGAATAATACATATTCCATTTAATATATACTCTATTTTTAAAAAAATAATAATAGCTTATTTTTTAGAATAAAACTATTCATATTGTCTCTACTAAAAATTGATTCGCTTCTTCTGCTTTACTAATCAATCCAAAAAAATTCAACTCAATGTATAGAAATAAAGGAATGATACTAAATATCTAATTTGTACAAACCATACGAAACGTAATAACCGAAATCAAATATGAAGTAGAACCCGCCCGTAGGGCGGGCCGGACCTAGTATTATATAAAGTGTAGTTCTATAACAATGTTGTTCATATATCTTGAACATACATCTTTTAATGTAAATTTTTTATATTGGGAAGGAATAGTAGTTGCTATTTTCTAAGTTTAATATGAATTTGTCTAAGTTAACTATTGGGAGTTTCTAAGTTGAATATGAAATTAGTATATTCTTATATTTTTTTTTTTAATATCAAGTAGCTTATAAATTATTTTTGAGTAGTTTGTTAAGTTGTTTGGTTAAATAAGATTGTAATTTTAGATCCATATCTAGTATGTCAGTAAAAGTAAAAAACCAAAGTTCAATCAAATTTAAAACCTATAAAGTATGTAGTCTAATGGATTGTAGTTAGGGGTGGGCACGAATCGAATATCTGGGTTTTTGAAGGTATTTGTGATTTGCTTCTTATGTTACGGATATCTAATTTTGGTATTTGCTTTGCTTCGTAAAATACGGATATCCGGAAAAACGGATATCAGGAAAATAAATAGATATTTGCGGATATTTACGAATACTTACGGATACCTCATCCGTTTTAATCAATACAAATAATCTTAAAAATTTGATACAAATATATTTTATAAAATATTTTTTTCATGATATATAAAATATAAATTAAAAGAAATAGTGAATTTACATATATTGTAATTTTTTAAATTTAAGTTAACAACTATAATAACACAAAATTTAAGAAAAAAATTATAATTTTCATAGTTTTTTCTTTTCTTTTTATGTAATACTTATATATAAATAATAATGTGAATAGAATTTGTCAAATCATATGCTAAGATAATAATTATATAAATTTATATATTTAAAATTTTAAATATAAATAAAATATATACGTATTTATATATTTCCGGATCGGTTTGGATATCTGCTTCCTAAAATATTACTATTCGTGATTTGATTCGACTTTAACGGATATTGATTTTTAATATTTGCTTTGATTTGAAAGTTTACGGATATCCGGAATTTTCGAATCAAATCGAAACGAATAACGAATCGGATTAAATTTAACGGATAAAATGCCCAGTCCTAATTGTTGTAGTGTTATCGTTAGTCGTTACGTTAAATCCGGATTGCATCTTGTTTACAAACAGAAATCAAATAGATGGATATTATACTTGTATGTTTTGGAAATAGTATTGTTGTAGAAATAGATAAGAAGATTAAAATTCTAAAAAAAAAAATTCAACGAAAATCAAATCATTTTTTTTTTAACAACGAACACTATTTTATTACTCAAACTTAAGGTAGTTTTGGTAATCTGACCGAAATTAACAGCCAATATAACAAAACTAGCTATCTATGAAAAATCTAGCAATTTTAACTAAAGAATCCAATTTCATTATATCATCGGTTATAATGAAATATCCAAAATTCAGTCTTTGAAATATGAAATATGTTGATTCTAGAAAACTAATCTGCAACATTTTTATAACCTCCAATCATTTTGCAGAACTTGGCCAATCAATTGACTTGATTTAATCATTGCAAGGATCAAATCAAAACGGTTTAATCCCAGAAATATATGATGATATATCAATAAAACATATACTACTTCCGCTTTACTAAGATTATTGTTTTGAGATTTTATTTGTTTCACAGAACAATTGCTTTGTGTTTTCAATGTAACTTTATACTCTCTATTTTATATAAAAAGTGTCATTTTGACACATTTCGTAAAAAGTGTCACTTTGACACATTTCACGCAGATTAAAAATCTTGTAGAATATACTAATATGTTCTTATTTAATATAAAATTCATTAAATAAAATAATTTAAATATAAATCTATTGGTTATTTAAAATGATAAAAGAGATTTAATGTGTAAATTTGCAATAAAAACGTAGAATAACACCCTTTTTGAAACAAAAAAAAATCAATTTAAAATGACACTTTTAAAAAAAAGGGATGGAGTATTTTATTTATTTATTTTGTCCATATTAATTAAGACAATTACTACATATTTTTCTGTCATCAACAAAACACAGACTCAGGATGATTCTTCAAATTAGCCGAGAATTCTGAATCCATATGGACGACGAAGGTCGATTGTTTCCTAGCACTACGCGCAAGGATATCTGTTCTTGAATTCATCGTTCGAGGTATATGGAGAAGCTCGGAGGAATGAAAATGAAAACTGCCTTTCAAGATCTTGATATCTTCTAAGTAACTTGCAAAAGCTGGTCATTCTTCTGGTTCTAAGATCAACTTCACCAATTGAATACAATCTTCATTAATCGAGAACAATTACACCAATATTACTACATATAATATTTTATATTATAAAGTATGTATTGAATTAGGGCCATTGTTGGTATTGTAACTTTATAGCAATTTTTTTATTTAAAAAAAAATAGAATTGAGTTGAAACATATTTTCCTCTATTATAGTATTTAAGGTGAAAATAGAACTTGGAATAAACGCTTCAATTGACAACCATTGAATTGAATGGAAAATGAATAAAAAATAATGAATAAATATTCAGTCGAGGAAATGAAAAATCCTTATATATATGAATTTATGTTCATTTCATTCCTCATAGAAACTAGAAAAAAATTTATTCTTCAAATATTTTTTCATTCATAAGAAAATGAGAGAAAAAGAGTGGGACACATGAATCTATAATTTGATTAAAAAATTAACATGAGTGGTAAAAATTTTGAGGAATGGAAAATTCACCATCATTTTTTTCCTAAACTATGGTCATCAACTAAAACCAAAATGTTTCAGTAGTATTCTATTTTTTCACTTTGTAATAGAGTAAAAAAAAGTTTGGTCTATAAATAAAATAGTTCATTTTTTTATGCATCACTTTGTTTTTACTATAATTTAGAGTACTATTGATGTTCATTATAAAATTAGAATGAAAAAAAATTGACTGGGAAGAAACTAGATGTTCTTAGAAAACAAAAAGTTACACGCATTGCAAGTAATGTCATACTAATGCCACCAAACCGCAAAAGGTAGAACGAACTTTACATATAATTAACTAATAGATCAAATGGTCGATATTATAATCATATACATGAGGTCAATGCTAAATTTATAATTTCATCTGATAGCAGCCTGTCAAGTTGTTTCAACCTTGATAAAACATGCATATCAAACAAACCGGGACTACACCACTGAAATTGATCCAGGTATAAACTGGCATATAATTTTGAAAAAGGTAAGAAGACTAAAACTAAATCAAATATTTATTATTCATGTCATGTATAAGCACAATATTATCCACACTACACATAATAATTAATAATCCTCACATAGTCTCTTTCTCGCTATCTCTCACTATATATGTATGTGTACTTTATGGTATTAGCTTGCACAATTGTGTTTTGAGCAAATTAACTCCAAAAAAGAGAATTTGCATTCCCTACACACAAGTAATTCTCTATTTGCACTCCCTACCATATTTTCCTCAGTTTTTGCTCCCCACATTATCAATATTTCCCCCTAAATTTAAGGTATTCAACACCTTTTAGTATTTTGAGCAAATTAACTCAAAAAAGAGAAGAAAAGAAAAAGCTTGCACAATTTTTCTAAATACATAAAAGGACAAAAACTCATAAAGGATTATCAATGTCGTTGATGGTGAAGAATAATCCATACGAGAACACAAAGATGGATAAAGCAGATCCCCAAGAGTTAATTCACAGAAGAGCTGAATTTCTAATCCAGGAGGTTCTTGAACGAGCAGGCCACAAGACAAGACAGCAGCAACAGAAGAAGCGATCATCTGGACCGTTGATTATGATCAGAGTGGTTGGGATAAAAATGACAATTGGTAAGAAACTAATAAGGAAGATGAAGAAGAATAACAGTTCTGATTGTAGCAATTTTATCTCTCGTTTCCTCAAGCGGTTCTTGTTAACATGTTCTTCTTCTTCATCTCGCACCATCTCCGATCTGCCTCCTCTATTCACTCTTCAAGTTTGATAATTTTGAATTGTTATTTTTTTTGTTAAAGCGTTTAATTGTGAATTGTTTTTGTTTTAATATTTTGTCTGTGATTTCCGTCAATTTAAAAACTAAATATCTGTCCTGGAAAAAAAAAACTATATAGATTTATCGAATTGATCAAATTCGATTATGAAAAGATGCATGGTTACTTAAAATATTAGCAGAATCAGTTACATTAGTTTTACTGTCACTACCCGCTAACTTTTAGCACCATGCTATACGATTTAATTATAACCATAACTTAGGCATATTTGATTTAACTTATATTCAACATAAAACAATAAATAGTTAGTTTTATTAAAAAAACTCTCATGTATATTTTTTTTTATGTTTTGTAATTTACATATAGAGTACAATATATTATTTTATAATATAGATGTTTGATAACAATTTTTTTATTTTTACATAACATTATATTAAAAATTATAATATGATGCAATTTGATATAATTGTACTATTCATATATCAACATTTTGTTTTTTTTTTGTTAATTTATCTTAAAATGAAATAATATACTAAAAATTTTAACCTTTTTGCATTAGTTTTCTGTTAATTATTATTAATTTTATGATATTTTGTTTTCTTGAAAAATTGAACTATCATTTTTTTTTATATTTGACTAAACAAAATAAGGTAATAATATATTTAAAATTCTTTTATATAATATATAAGATATATTTCAGTCTGTGTTTTTATTTTCAAAGCAAATAAACAATAATCATTGTAATTAATTATTTTAAATATAGTGGTAAAATCTGTAAATAAAAAATACAAAATAAAGTATTTAATTTATTGTAAATACAATGGCTAAATGTGTAAATAAAATGAAGTATTTAATTTGCTATTCATATTTTCAAATAATTTTCATTTATATTGTTATCAATGTTTCCAAACAGTACCAAAAAGTAATTCAATATCAATAATATATATGAGGATTCACCTGATTTCATGCATTTACAGTGTTGATTATTTAATGTTTTAGATATACATTTATATTAAAAAGTAATTGATTTAATAGTGAAACTATAACGAACTTGCGCTATTCAAATTTGTTTTCTCTCTCTCTCTCTTCGAAACTACAACCTTAAACCTGTGATCAACAACGATCTCAACAACCATGTTCGGACCTCTCGCAACAACGAACTCGACTCGACGAACACAAACATGAACTCGACTCGACGAACACGACTTGACAGCTGGTGATAATCCGGGAGCGGTTATCTTCCAATCCTTTCTTAATGGCTGCACACGATGAATTGACTCAATAATTACGTGTAGCTTTGAGTGCTTGAAAGAAATTTGCTTTCATAGTCAGAAGCATTCCTAAACTACCCGACAACTCACAGGATCTTGAAGATTAGACAACTAATAACCATCTACATGTTACATATATTAAACTGACCATCAAACCTAAGCTATGCTCTAATAACTCATAAAGAAGTAGTTAAGGATTATGGGATCACATCAAACACCGATTTTCCCTTTAAATCATAGTTCGATATCAACAAATTTGAGGCTCTCTCGCAAATTTTTGACAGATGGGATCCTCTGTAGAAGACTACCTCAGCTGCTTGACAAGAATTTGGGACTCTATGGACAAATGTGTAACAACCAAGACATGTATATGCGGAAAGTGTGAGTGCAAATTGGTTAACTCTCAGAAAATAGAGTGTGAAAGCATGTGTTCATGACTTACTATTCGGCCTAGATGATGCTATTCACGGTGCAATATGATTTCATATTTTGAACAAATTCCACTACCTGATCTTGATTCTGTATACCAGAAAATTGTGCAAAAAACGAAACCTTACAACTCAGCACCAAGAATGATACTCCGGTTGTATTAAGCTTTTCTGCCTAATCTCCAACGCAACAACATACAGTGGAGAACAACAAACCCTCCTCAAAACCTCGACAAACTGACAACTCACGACCATGGAATCTTAATCCAGATGTCAATGTAACCTGCACAAGCTGCAGATGATTGGGATGGAGCCACATCATGCTTCTATGTTCTTGGGTTTCCCAAATGGTGAGGAAACATACCTCCAAACCGCAATGGCTATCAAAGAGGACAAGGAAATGTGCAACCTACTGGACAAAATCCAGCTGCACGCACAAACTCCTCTCAGATAGGTTGTCCGACAACTGAGATTGGCGCTAACCTGACATTAACTGGCGCTGATATACATGGTTTAACTGGTTTCTTTGATGCTCAATGGCAGACATTGGTGAAACTTCTAAACTCACCAAAACCAAACTCAGATGGTAATCTTCTATATGGTAAGAACAATGATCCACTTTGGATCTTGGATGTAGGCGTAACTCATCACATAACTGGACGTCTTGATCTACTTAAAGATATTGATCTTGTCTCCTCAGTATCAGTTAAATTATCGGCTGGAGTGAATGTATTGACTACTCAATAGAGAACAATTTAACTAACATAACATATACACTTTAAGAATGTGTATTATGTGGATTGATGTCACATGAACCTAATCCGTTTGGCCAATTACTTACCGATAATTCTCTAGTTGGTATTATTGATATACTTTTTATTTTGCATGACCGCATCACGAAGACGCTGAATGGAAGGGGCGAACAAGAGGGAGAGGGTCTGTATCACTTTAGAGGCTTCGAAACTGTAACTTTTATTCATATTGTCACTCAATTTATGATGAAACCACAAGTAGCCCATTGGAATGCATCTATACACATCGTCTGATATTTGAAAGGAACACTTGATCAAGGAATCATGTTATGTGTGGCTCCACCAATACACATAACTGGTTGGTATGACTCGAACTGGGAAGGCTTCCATGTGGCTCGGCAATCTTCAACAGGTTGGGTCGTTCAGATTGGCATCTACCTTTTCTCTTAGAAAACTAAGAAACAAGACATGATTTCTCTATCTTCCACTGAGGCTGAATATAGTGCTATGACAAAAGTTGTTTGCTGACTCAAATGGATCAAAGGTCTACTACTCGACTTTGACATTAACCATAAATGACCAATGAATTTAAGGTGTGTCAATCAATCTGCCATTTACTTAACAAAGAATCTTGGTTTTCACGAACATACTAAAGCATATTGAAGCGGAATATTATTTCATTCTCGATCACATACTTAACGGAAAAATTACAACTACCTATGTCATCTCAATAGATCAGCTTGCGGATATTCTCACAAAGGTTTTATGACGAAAATAATTCAGTATTTTCCTTACAAGTTAGCCATTGAAAAATTGTAAGTTCCAACTGGAGGACGGTATCGATATATTTGTATATATCTCATTCATGATTATCTATTACTTGTAATATAAACTATTTCCATATTCAGATTTCCTTATAGCAATAACAACTTTCTGGTTGTATATATGTAGACCTTGAGGTCTCTAAATCAATATCACAAGAACTTATACTGATTACATAACTTCCCAGAATATGTGTTGTAAATAAACATGTGATCTTTAAATCAACCAATAATAATATATGTGCCTCTCCAAAAATTGATATATTAGTTTTTTTGAAGCTCAAGAAGGTGAACATAAATTAATAATTAAAAAAAAATTATGAATACATTCCATTTATATATATTATAATACACATAAGCATCCAATGAAATTGAGTAAATTTGTTATAATCATTACTAAAATGAATAAAAAGATATTTGCATGTTTTCAAAAATAGTAGAAAGGTCTGGTTACTTTTAGCTCAAAATTGAATTAGATTTAGTAATGTTACTTTGGGTGTCTCTCATCTTGATGTGGTTTAGATGGTCGCTTGTGTGTTGTGCTCTCTCCAATTGGTTCTGTTTTAGTTTGAAATTTGATGTTTCTTTGGCCCTAATTAGTAACGGTGAGTTGTCTCAAGAATTCTGATTTAAATGACTTATTTGCGATAAGATTGTTTGAAATTGAGGATTGATTGACTCTTTGTTAAGTTAAGTCGTTTAACACTCAGAACTTTTCTGTTCTTTGAATTGGTTGTCAAGTTTGTCATGTGGTTTTTGTATTTTTTTTGTATGCTTGTTCTTGCTTCATCTTCATTTGGCTGTCCATTTATAGGTATTAGGTTGATTTTAGGCGCTTGGTCATGCTTTTCTCTTTCTTAATCTATCATTTCATATAACTCTAGGATTTAGTTTTGATTCATCCTTTTCTTCATTTACAACCTATTTATGTTTGGGTTTTATAATAACTTTTTATTAAGGATTCGAATTGTAATATGCATAACAATTAAGGTATGATCCTAATATTAACAAACACACACACACACACACACATATATATATATATATATATATATATATATATATATATATGTTAGAATTTTTTGTTATTATTAACTGCCATGTCATTTGTAAACATTCAAAGTCTAAATAGTTTATGTAAATATCTATGTATTCGACCAGTTTATATATTTCACTTTGTGTTTTAGTTTTTAACCAATATATAATCAGATGGAAAATCTAGTCGTCTTGATCTAGTGATAAAAGGATTCCAGTTGGAGATCCTGTTTAAGTTTGAGTAGCATTGTCTAAATGTTTTAACTCGCAAAAAAATCTGAATTTTTATGGGTTTCATGTGATTAGTTATTGAGTCTAGAAAGTTTTTGGGATCCCCACGAATATATAAAAAAAAAAATAATCAGATGGAAAAGAAAAGCAATGACACAAAAGCATGTATTCGTATAGTTTGATTAAAAGGAGTTGGCAAAAGACGAGTTGCTTAGCCGGTAAGTTGACTCGTACTTTAATAACTTATCTATTTTGCCCATTATGACACCATTCTTTTTGTATATTTCACTATTAGTACTATTTTTTGCCCATTATTAGAAGAATTGGAGTTGTTTACGTAATGAGTCACAAAGTGACTTTGTCTTGCAGCGAGAGACACTTAGGATAGTTGGGACACTTTCCCTTGGCAGTATCTGAGTGTTAAGACATTACTGTCTTTTGGGTGGGAATCGGTTTAAAATGTTGGAGTTAAGGAAACCAGTTTTGTTTTAATGTAAGGATCGAATGAAACATTAATGAGAGTTTTATTGTTAGGTTTATTGATGGAAGAGCTTAATTCTAGACCATTGGATGAGAGACAATGTTTCCCAATCTGACGGTCAATTTTGAATGTTGTAGAAGTAGGTCAGCTGTGAGAAGGACATGAATTTATTGTCTTGAACCCTGTGACTTTGTCTTGTTCGAAGAGATTGGGAAGGAAAGCTGAAGGTGAGATTTGAGTTGGGTTTGTTTTATAAATCAATAGATACATAATTTGTTTTGACTGAGTGTATCTTTGTGTTTCAGTTGACTGCAATGGAGGAGCAGTGCATTGTGATGTGCGGCGAGTGGGTGTGTGGTAATGGAGGGAAGTGGGATTTTGTGCTTGACAAACGACATATGTGTCGTCTTGTTCCTCTGTACGAAGGAATGAGCTTGAATGAACTTCAGGGGAACGTCGCTCGTGAGTTTGGTGTGGAGGAAAATTTGTTTGTTGCTACGTTAAGCTACTGGCCTCCGTCAAGTTTGGAGTTAGCTACAGGGATAAGAACACCACCGGTACTACTAACAAGTGATGGAGCGATAAGGTACTTCCTGCAGCACTTAAGAGTGAAAGGAGCTATGAATCTGTTTGTTGGATTTGAGAGGAGGAAGAGAGACGAGGAGGAGGACATTGATGATTCAGGGATGGGTTTTGTAACTCCTGGTACCTTTACAAAGAAGGGAACTTCAAACGTTGGTTCTGTTTTGAGAGGTGGTGGGTCTTCTGCTTCTGGTTGTAATGTTGCTTCTGGTTTGAGGCGTGAATTTGTGCACAAAGCAGTTCCAAAAGCCCTTATTGTGAATTTGGATGATGTTGAGTTTGTACGTGAGGTGGAGAGAGTTGAGGAAGAAATAAGAGAGGATGGGAGTTCGTTAGGAAATAAAGAAGCAGCTTTAAGCGGCAGTAGTTTGGGTGGTAGTGATGATGTGGATGAGGTTGACGATAGAGACGTGAGACCTCGAGGATACGACAAAGAGTTCTGGAGTCCACTTCTAGATGGTGACTATGATGGCTCTAATGCTGTAAATGTTATTTACAATGAAGATGAGATTGTGCAAAACGTCAGCAGTAAAACAGGTCCATACCGTTACACGTGTAACACAAAAGACGGCTTTAACGATGTGGCTGAGGACGGTGTTCCTATCAATGGAAAAAGTGACTCTAGTGATGACAAATACCCGTGGAAGGGTGAGAGGTATAATCCGTCGATGGGGTCTGGAGACAACAGTAACCCAAGTGTGGACAGGAGTGAAGGTGTTCAAACAAGGAAGCTTGATGAGGTAGATGATGAAGAGTTTGATATTCCACCACTTTTTGATGATACAAACTATGCTGCAGCTGAGATACCAGACATGGATTTGGAGGAAAGTGATGGTAGGATCTATGTTGGGAAGGTGTTTGGGAACAAAGCTGACTGCCAGATTTCTCTTGCCATATACACTATTAAAAATCAGTTCCGTTTCAAACAAACAAGGACCAAAGTTGATTCATTTGTTGTTGAGTGCCCCGACAGTAAATGTGATTGGCGTGTGACAGCACATGAGATAAGGGGATGTGGCTATTACGAGATCATGAAAGCACAATTAGATCATAGCTGTCCAATAGAATTTAGGCAGGGGTATCAAAGCAAAGCTACATCGCGTGTGATTGCAGCTGTGTATCGTTCGAAGTTCGGTGATACTAGAAAAGGGCCTGTTCCGAGAGAATTTCAGAAGCTGGTTCTAGAGGATCTTCGTGTACCTGCTTCGTATATGAAATGCTATAGGGCAAAATACAAGGCTTTAATCGACATTCATGGGTCTGAAGAAGAATCATATTTGAAACTGCCTCAGTATTTGCACATGTTAAAAATGGCCAATCCGGGGACAGTAGCTGACATTGAAACAGAGGTAGATGATGATGGTGATGAGAGGTTCCTTTATCCTTTTCTTGTGTTTGGGGCATCTATTAGTGGTTTCAAGCAGCTTCGACTTGTGCTGGTTGTGGATGGAACACATTTAGGAGGAAAGTACAAAGGGGTGTTATTGACTGCTAGTGGACAAGATGCTAATTTTCAGATTTTTCCACTAGCTTATGCTGTTGTGGACAGTGAGGATGAAGAGGCGTGGACTTGGTTTTTGACGAAGTTGGAGAGGATCTTAGGTGATTCGCCCAGGCTTGCAATCATATCTGACCGTGCAACATGCATTGCAACAACTGTGAAACGTGTTTATCCATCTGCTAATCACGGTTATTGCATAGTTCATTTGGCGCAAAACGTCAACTCTCGTTAGCAAGAACTTGGCGAAAATGGTTACAGCAATTGCAATGGCTTACCGTCATCGAGAGTACACGAAAACGTACAGCAAAGTAAGGTCTCAGAGAAGTGAGTGTGGAGTGTATTTGGGTAAGATAGGTGTTGCTCATTGGACAAGAGTAAACTTCCCCGGAGACAGGTATAACATCATGACTAGTAACATAGCAGAACAGCTGAATCATGCTCTCGTGGAGGGGAGAACGTCACCTATTATGGAGTTGGTTAAATTCATTCAAAGGATGATGACAAGGTGGTTCAGTGCAAGGAGGAAGAAGTCATCGAAACACAGGGGTATGGTTAGTGTGGAGGTGGACAAGGAGATGACAAAGAACATGGCAACAATGAAGGGGAGTAAAATGAATTCTTCAACAGAGTGGACTTGTGAAATAATAGGGAAATTTGGAGGAAAAGAACGTGTGCACCTAGCGAAAAATCAGTGTGACTGCAAGTATTTTGATAAAATTAAAATACCATGTGGACACGCTATGTTGGCTGCGGACAGTTTAGGAGTGCCTTATGAGACTCTTGTGGGTCACTGCTATAAGAGATCGACATGGAGGGAGACATATGCTGGGATAATAAGTCTAGAAGGAGATCCTCGTGATGTGGAAATGCCGGAGGGGATAAAGAAGATGGTGTTGTATCCTCCTGTTACAAAGAGAGAACCCGGTCGCCGTAGGAAAACATGATTTTATCTACGGGGGAATTTCCGGTAAGATGAATATGAGTACTCTTCTATTTTAATGTGCATAAACCATAATTTAAGTGTGAATATGATGATTTTCCTAACACATGTGTTGTGTTCAGGTGACAAAGAAGACTAAGGTGGCACCAAACAAGTGTGGTCGGTGTCGTATTGGAGGGCACAACCGGACCAACTGCACAAACCCAATTTAAAAGCAGGTTGGATGTTTGGTGGGGAAAAGTGAATTTTTTTAGTTGGGAGAGCAAACGGAGTGGATGATAACTTTCGGAAGTTTATTTGTGTTTTGAAAGGTGGAACTTTCATCTTTAGGGGACTGTTATTTTGAAGATTACTTTAAGGGAGGAAGGTTGTTTTGGTTTACTAATTGGCGATGACTTGTTGAATGTTTATTTTAGCTATGAATGTGTTTCAATGATTTACTTTGTTTGAAAGGTATTTTGCATCTAATCATTATGAAATTTGATTGGTGAAAGCATTTACAAAATCTTGCTTTGTTGAATGACTCTATAAGTAATTAAAAAGAAGTTGTCAAATCTCAGACTATGGATTTGTGGATGGTATTTTGCATCTATTTCATTTTGAATTTTGATTGGTGTTTTGTGAAAGCAATTACAAAACATGCTTTGTTAAATGACTACATAAGTCATGGAGTTGTGGATGGTAATCCAGAAGAACTTCCCTTACAAAGGACCTCATGGAAGTTGACAAAATACTTGAGAGATGGAGTTGTGGACAGTAATTAAAAAGAACTTCCCTTACAAAGGTCCTCACCGTAGTTGTCAAAATACTTGAGACAAAGAATATCAAAGCCAAACTCCATGGACTTACATAATATCAAAGCCAAACTCCATGGGAAGTCAAGTATAGTCAAAATACTTAAGCCAAATAAGTTGTAGATAGTGGAGTTACATAATATCAGAAGTTGGAGATACAATATAAGGATAGATGAGAGTAAGAGTTCCCACTATATTGCCTCAAAACGAAGAAGTTAATTAATTAACCGAGCTTCCAAAAGAGGTAAGACATAGCTCCGCAAATGGCCACAAATGCTGCAGTCTTTATGAAGGGGCCGTCGGTGTGGAGCGTCGTGTTGATGCGGGTGTCGAGCTCTGCATCAATTTGTTATGTCATCTTCTTTGTCGCCTCGTCGATGGATGTAGTCATCTGCAACATTTCTTTCTTGAGCTGTTCATCACGACTTCCAATCCAATTTCTCTGTGAATCGAGCTGAGCTTGTGTTTTAATGGTAAGTGCTTGGAAGTCATTAAGTAGATCCATGTGCTTGGCGTCTACAATTCGTATCTCGTCAAGAAGGGCTTCCTCTATCCATTTGAAGAGATGGCTCTCTGTTTTGTGCTGTTCATGGAGTACAAAGATTTTGGGGTTTTTTTTATAATATTATTATATGCAGAGAAGGTAATACTAAGTTCAATTGGAGAGAATAGAGAAACCTGTAGGGCAATTCGGCATCTGTAAAATCTGCGACCAGGATTCTCCTTAGTCTCTGAGACCCAGGTATCGAGGGGTTGGCCACACCAACATTTTGTTGGAACACCGTACACATGCCTGCGGGCTTCTTGACGGGAGGAGGAGGAAGAACTGCTCATCGTTAGGTTGACGGAAGAAGTGCTAAGCCAGTGATAGTAAAACCAATTTTGAAACTTTGAAATTGGGATCCTTAATTGTAGATCGGGAGAACATGTATCAATCGGCATTCGCTTATAAAAGGTATGGAGGTGGTTTGATTTGGTATTATTTTGATTGGGATTTCGGGTTAGTAGGAAACCGGAATGAATTTGTGGTCAGGACCCTATGGACATATGATTTGTAAAGGGTGTCCATATAAGTAATCTGTCCACATGTCCTTAACAAAAAAGAAATTTCAAATTGGTTGGATTGATTCGGTTTTATCAGGAAAAACCGGTTAGTAGGAAACCAGAATGATATTGTGGTCAGCCCTCTATCCACATCAGGTTTGTAAGGTTATCCACATGGACACGTCTGTCCACATTTCCTTCCATAAAAATTTGAAATTGGCTAGATTTGGATTTAATTGGATAACCGATATTGGTTTGTGTTTGGTTAGATATCAATATTCCATGAACAGTTGTATATAATTCCCGTCCACAAGTGTTGTGTCTGTCCACATATAAACCTTTAGTATATGATTCATATGTTAAAAAGCAAAACTGCATGTGTCATGGTTGTTGTTATTGACTTGAAATTTGGTAATTGACAAGATTCACCATTTTGAAGATGTGATTTTTTTCGAAATTGACATTTTAAAACAAAGATGATAGTAGATAGAGAAGGAGTTGCATAAGTTTCAGATATTAGACAGCCGATAGTGGACCAGAAAGGTAGTACATAAGTTTAACATGGTTAAGAGGGGTTCCACACCCTATTAAACACAAAATACTCCTAAAACACATAAATTAGTCTCGCTGGATTTTAAAGATGAGAAGATAGAAGTTGCAACTTCCATTCAAATGAAGTAAGAGCGTGGAGAGTAGTACGAGGGCATGACGATGGTCTTGTATATATCAAGTGCATACTGCTTGCGGAAGGCATCGACTGTGCTGTCTGTGAAGGTGGACATGTGAGGTTCGGGATCGCCGTGTGCGTGCATTTCCATGAACTTGACAGAAACTGGACCGCAGTCACCTCCTCTTTCGTTGATGTACAAGTCTGGAACACGAGACCATCCAAAGGGTTAAAGACCACGGAACTGAGTAAGGTCGTAATTTGCCACCTTCTTCACGAGATAGGGTAATGCCTTCAGAATGGGTGCCATGAAACGACCGACAGTGTTGTCTCTGTAAAGCGTGGGCAGTGGGTCTAGGATTTCAACAAAACCCAAGTCAAGGTTGATAGCCAAACCATCCCAGTGTTTATTGGCCCATAACATTGGAGTGTAGACAGTGACCACATCTGCCATCCATTTCCTTCCTGGATGGAGGACAATTTCAGTGATCGGTTCCCCCCAGTCGAAACTTGCTTTCCTACTTGAAGCGTTGAATTTCTTGGTCTTGAGCTTGATTCCAAATGTAAGAGAAAGGGGGCGTGAAGGACAACTTCTGTTCCTGAAAGAGACGGCTATGCCTTTCAGCTAGCATGTACATGAGTATATCCATGTACTGCATGGTAAATGAGATTAGTGAGAAAACACAAAAGGCAAAAAAAAAGAAGAACAAGTAATTTAGGAGTGGTGAAGGATAAGCGTACATAAGCTGATGTCCAGTGCTTAGGTTGTGTTAGTTGGAGGAGGAAGTTGTTGGTAAACTCAAAATGTGAAGGTGTTATGTGAAACCTGCAAGAAAAATGTGTGTAAGTTAATCTAGACAAATCCTTAGGTTGTGCTAGTTGGAGGAGGAGATTGTTTTTATTTGGACTTACACATCCTTGTTGTTGGCAATTATTCTTTGGAAAATATCCCATTGGATTTGAGGTAGTGGGGTGATAAGGTCAACTGCTGGAATAGTTTTGACGCGGTTGAGTTCATGAGCAAGTTGGTTCTCCTCCCGTGACGAAACATGTCTTGACTGAGGTCTCTCGGGAGATCCTTCACTAAGTTCCACGATGTCACTGTCCTCCTTTTGTGACGGAACATGTCTTGGCCGAGGTCTCTCGGGGGAGCCTTCATTTTGGCTCAAGCCCACGAAGCCACAGTCTTCATTTTGTTGAGCCTATTAAGAAAGAACAAGAGTTTGATATATAAGACTCAACAAAGGAGAGTTTATAACACAGCATATGGGTGATAACCACGGTACCTGTGTGTTGACCTGGATGTTGGTGACTAAAGGTTTGGATGTAGCGGTTGCTGAGAATGCGTTGACTGTTCGCGCATGACCTATGAAACCAGAAAGACTACCTTCGCTTTTGTTGGGAGACGTGTCGGGGGTGAAAGGGAGTTGACATTGCGAGGCTTGGTTTGTTGAAGTGTCGTATTTCGGTTGACCAATAGAAGGAGGATCAGGGCTGATGGGGTCAAATATCTCTAAGCCATGGAACAGAATGTGGTGGATTTCTGGACTGTTAGGGTGAGCGCTAGAGTCCTATATCACAGAACGTGTGCGCATGTTAGGGGGAGAAGTGGGATTTGGTTGGATGGGTGTATGTAAAGGTGTGTTGTGGACGGGACAAAGGTGGTGGTTTGGGTTGTGGATATGTGAAACTTTGTGGATGGGAGAGGGAATGTGTGATGGTGATGTGTGGACAGGTGAGTGTGGGTTGTGGACGGGACGTTGAGGACCGATATCAGAGGTTACGGGGCTATCTCATTGGTAGGGGAAGTTGTGGATGTTGAGCCGTAGAAATGTACACCATATTGGCTGAAAACAGGGGACTTGATAAGCTGGTCCTCTTCTTCCATAGGGACGGAGAACTATGATAAGTAAAGGGAAACAATGAGATATAGGCGAGAAACAATAGTTTGGGATTTTCCAATTTAAAGGATTAATTCAGTAGACTATGCAAACTAAAAACGTATTGTCTTCTTAGGAGATGTTGCATCTAGAAGATCAATTTGACACCCCTTGTCAGAAGTTTGGTCTTGGGCTTCAGTCTGAATTCCTCTATGGGACGGTTGTCCTTTCTTTGTACGGCCAATGAGAATGTGGAAGGCAGAGCTCTTGGTGGTAGAATGCTTCTTCCTGCGCTTTAGCAAAAAAACGCACCTGCTTTGACACCTGCTTTGACTCTTTCTGAAGGCTGGAGACTATGCCTAATACTTCAGAAAGCATTTCCATTACTTTGTCATCCCTGGCTGAAACAGATCGAGGAAAATAGTTGCTGATTCATCTCTGGTTACGGGAAGTGAAAACCTTCCTTGCAGACTTTCTTGGTTGAGTCGCTTTGCATGAAGTTGGTTTGGCCTTGAGACATTTTTTGTGAATGACAGGTGGGACAACAATTGGTGAGAGAGAGAAGAGGGGATGAGATGTGTTTCCTCCATGCCAAATATGCTTATGAAAAATCTGATGTCCAATAAGCTGCTCCATGTATAACACCCATTCATCGTTACAAACATCTGGCCAAACTCCCCATCCAGGTTGTGGTTGACTCTGTATTGGTATCAACGATGTAACAGCAAGATGCAAAATAGACAATCGGGTGGTTAATGATCAGCTTCATGACAAATATGGAAAAATCAACAACCAAATAAAATGGGATAAAGACTTGTGAATTTACATGTGGGTCAGCTTCAGTGCGTAGTATGTCATTCTGGGATGGTGCTGGGTAATCAGGAAGATGATCAGAGTCAAGTTCAATGACTGATTGGGCTCAACATGGATTGAGATTGTTGACTGCAGTTTCAGAATAGCTTGATATGCAAGTAGTTGTAGTGCAAGGGGAAATCCTTGAAGCCGGAAAGTTTCTTGATTTAGCATATCAACGAGTGCTGCGATAGGGTCTTCACATTTTCCAGAGACATACTTTGGAGGCTTCATGCAGGTAATTGTCTTCAGAAAATACTCTCTTTCCCAAGGGTGTGAGCAGAAAGCATCTACATCTTGTACCATTTTGACATACTTCAGAGTTGCCCGTGACTTTTGTTGATGTGCAATGAGGACACCATCAACAATAATAATCAAAGCTAGGCGAAGCTTCTTCCACCCTGGCAAGTTTCTATCAGTCTCAAGCTTGGTCAGCAATTGTGATGAATTTCTTCTTGCCTATCAACTTGATCCAGTCTGGGTCTTGTGCTGCTTTACTCTGGTCTTCCCAATCTGGGTTGTAACCTACAGGGAAGGCTCCACACGGTAATCCTGTGATGGTGACAAACTCTTGAAGGCCGAACCTAATAGGATCCCTTCCGAAAACAGACCAGAGAGTGTGTTTGTCTTCACAAACTAGTTGTCTTGACAGTAAGGAGTGTATTAACTGGCAGGAAACATGACACTGAATAGCTGGGAGGTCAAACAACTTGCCAAAGCAAGAGTCCTTGATATACTGGAACTCGACGGTGTCACGTAGCACATAACTGATGGAAGCTAGAAGAACAGGCTTGGAGTATATGTTAACGCGTCCCTTTGGAAACCTGTCTATGGCGAAGAGTCTAGGGGGGGAGTCGAAGGTCAGGAAGGTGGCTTGCTGTCACCTCGTCGAAATAATCCTTCCCTAAACACAAAGGAAATAACAAAATAGGAAAGTGAAAAACCAGAAATCGAAGTCGGGAAATAAAAAGTGGCAGAAATCGAAACTTGAATCCATACAAAATCACAACTTGCATGTCTCCAAAAACAGAGTCCAAATCGAAGATATAAAGAGACAGATTCAAGAATGATAATTGATAATTTAGAGACAGATCTGTCCCAACAAGTAAGAATTCTAAAGACATGAACATACACAAACAATTTCTTCGACAAAATTGAAATTATAGGGTTTGGATCAACACTCAGGCAAACGATCGAAGTAATCTATACAGCGGCTCAAAAAATAGAGAGAGAGAGAGAGAGAACGCATAGAAAAGAGATCAATACTCAGACTTTGCATGTCTCGTATGCTTGCGAAGCGTCAGATTGTGTAGGAGTGAATTTACAGTGGTGAAGAACTTCGATAGATCTAGAATGGCGAAGGGAATGAAAAGGGTTTTCAAAATCGCCGTTTGGGAGAGGAGGCGTGTTTCGTTCCCAATATTAGGGTTGAAAGTTGGGGAACAGAGGTAACCGGTTTGCTTTAGTGTCCCGACCGGTTTGGTTTAACAATGAATTTC